CCCCCCCCCCCCCCCCCCCCCATAGCATACGTATAGACACTCACAGTTACCAGCATTGAGTCGGTGATCCTCAAGCACCAGTTTTGCTGGACTGGACATGGTGTGCGGATGCCTGGCTTTTCATTCCCAAAACAAGCGCTCTATTCTCAGCTTCACTGTGGCCTGAGGTCTTGCGGTGGCCAGAAGAAATGCTGCAGGGACACATGGAAGGCAACCATCAAGAAAACAGAAACCAACACCAAGAGCTGGGAGGAGCTGCTTGCTAACCAACTCTAAGGGTGCCGCAACTTCAACCAGGTAAAGCGTCTTGTCCTTGAAGCAAAGGAGAGCGGAGGACGGACAGACCTGCAACTTGTGTGGACGGGTTTGTGGCTCAAGGATTGGACTCTTAAGTCACCTCAAGACCCATCGGTGAGCTGTGGCAGAGATCATCCTCAAACTGAGATTGCAGACAATGTGCTCTATAATAATTTGCAGGCACTAAAGGCATGTAAATGTAGTGCTGCACCTTCAGCCCGGCTGTTAGCACCCACCGTGCAACCCATGGTTCTCGGTGAATGAGCCTCGGTTGTTAATACTACACCAAGCTTTGACAGTCATAGTGGCAGCGGGGTCACCAGTCTCTCCCCTGGCTGCCACTAGAGGCGGACAGAGAGTCACCTAGCTGCCTGACTCTCACGTTATTTTCAAGGCAGGGAATTAAAATGACGACTTACCTTGATCTGTGTCTGTGAATAATTGTGCCACCAACAAAAAGATTAGAGCCAGGCACTATTCACAAGCCAGCTAATGCTAGACTCAGAGCAGTGTGTTATGATAAGTTATGATAATCCTTATCTGGGGTTTGTTTGTTTTTTTACTTAAAGGGATTTGCATTTGATTTTAGCAGCTTTAAGTTTTGCTTTCCCCACAAAAAAGAAATTAAAAAGGCTGATGGGACTGATCTAGCCTGTTCTGTTTGCTTCTTGTGCATATTTTCTTAGCTTGACAGCAAAAAGTCCTTCAGGAACTAGAGCTCATTTCTGCCGGGGTCTGCACCCCCCGTGTCTCTCCGGTAAGAACTGAGTATGTACCAGGTCAGTTCTCTGCGGTATTTTATTGCCTGTATCAGCTTGAAGGCAGGAGAGGGCAGCCCCTTAGACACTAATTCGGAGAATCATGAGCCTTTGAAGGCCACAGTCTGCTCACCTTGTGACCTGTTGGCATGTGTAAGCAAAATAGCGGAGGTTCATGATGAGTTCATCTCCCAAGTAAGTTCAACATACATGAGCTTACATCTTCCTGACACCCAGGCGCCTTCCCATCTGCATTTGGTGCATCTGCATGGTCCTGATAACATGGCAGCGGTGATACTCGACCAGGGTGCCATGGCGCTCTGGGGTGCCATGAAATCCTTGGTTGGGCAATATTAGCACTGTTAGGTGAGCAAACACCTACACATGAGTCACAAGATAAATGGAGAGACTCCAAATACAAATCCCTAGTCAAACCCATCCCAACCTGCTGCGGGCTTTCTGCATGCTTTGCAATGGAAGAATTGCTCTAGGATTTTTCTCTACTCAAAATGTGAGGGAAAGCTGAGAGCTGGCATTTTCTGTGGGGCTGCGTCAGGTCTAAAATGGTTGAAAACCACTGCATTACAGCAGTATCTTAACATAGGCTGCAAACTGGGGGGGGGTTCAAAGCAGAAGGGTCTTGAAGCCTTAATAATGTCCCTTTAGCATATGGTTTGTGTATGTAATGCATGTTTGCGTGCGTACACCACGCTGTGCGTGCCCATTACCTCTCCGGTGCGCGCTGTCATCACCTGTGTGCTGTGCTGATGAATCAGAGCTGTTCAGCTGTACGTCATAGCATCTGTGTTGCTAACGGGGGATCTCCACGACCATTTAGTTTTCAAGAGACGGGGGCTGTGCTATTGGGTTAGGAGGAATGGAGCTCCTGAAGTGCAAAGAGGCTGTATCTAGCATGCAACACAGCAGTACTGATAAAAATGTATAATAGCCACATGCTTGCTATTTTGTTAGGTCCCTGTGGGCAGACTTTTCCATTTGTGCCTGTCCACAGGGCTTTTCCTGCAAAGAACTCCTGGCAAGATCAAGGCCTGAGCAAACGTAATGCACTTCCCCAACACGTGCAGATTCTGGACCTGATTTAGGGGCTCAAGTGTAGCGGGGTGAAGTAAAGGGAAGGGTCTCAAATGGCTTCAGTGCCTTGCAGCGTGCAAACAGCAGCACAGTTTGTAGTGAGCGCCTAGGAGAAATGATGCTGATCTCTGGAATGAAATGATTTCCCTGTGACATCGCCCCTTTGTCATCTAGTGCCACCTGAAGTGTGTTGCCATGACCATTGAGTTTATATTAACTTGTGTGTTATGTTTTCTTCCCCACCCCTTCCTTTTTTGGCAGGTTATAACTGATTAGCCCATATGACCAACATGAGCTGGAGTTTCTTAACCCGTCTGCTAGAAGAAATTCACAATCACTCCACCTTTGTGGGGAAGGTCTGGCTCACGGTGCTCATTGTCTTCCGGATCGTCCTGACAGCTGTTGGGGGGGAGTCCATCTACTCCGACGAACAGAGCAAGTTCACGTGCAACACCAAGCAGCCGGGCTGTGACAACGTCTGCTACGATGCCTTTGCGCCGCTGTCACACGTCCGATTCTGGGTCTTTCAGATCATCATGATATCCACCCCATCCGTCATGTACCTGGGCTATGCCATCCACAGGATTGCTAGGTCCACGGAGGAGGAGAAGCGGTTTCGGGGGTTCAAAAAGAAGAAGAAGTTTGCTTTGAACTGGCAGGATGTCCGGAACTTGGAAGACCCCATGGAAGCGGATGAAGAGGAGCCCATGATCTCCGATGGCACGGGGGAAAACAACGAGAAGGCCAAAGACAAGGAGAAGAGCAAGGAGCTGCAAAAGCACGACGGGAGGAGACGCATCCAGCAAGAAGGGCTGATGAAGATTTACGTCTTCCAGCTCCTTGCCAGAGCTTCATTTGAAGTCTGCTTCCTGATAGGGCAGTATCTTCTCTATGGCTTCGAGGTGGAAGCTTACTACGTCTGTAACCGAGCCCCTTGCCCTCACACGGTGGACTGCTTTGTGTCCCGGCCGACGGAGAAAACCATCTTCCTCCTGGTGATGTACGTTGTAAGCTGCCTGTGCCTGTTGCTCAACATGTGCGAGATGTTCCACTTGGGGTTTGGGACCATTCGAGATGCCATTCGCAACCGAAAGATCAATAGCTTCAGGCAGCCCCCCTACAACTACTCCTACCCAAAGAACATCTCCTGCCCTCCGGAGTACAATCTGGTCGTGAAACCCGAGAAGTCGACGAAGATCCCCAACAGCCTGATGGCGCACGAGCAGAACTTGGCTAACGTTGCCCAGGAACAGCAGTGCACGAGCCCGGACGAGAACATCCCGACCGACCTGTCCACCCTCCATAAACACTTGCGGGTGGCCCAGGAGCAATTAGACATCGCGTTCCAGAGCTATAACACCCCGCAAGCCAACACGCAGCCCTCCAGGACCAGCAGCCCAACTTCGGGTGGGACTGTGGTGGAACAGAACAGGGCCAACACCGCCCAGGAGAAACAAGGCACGAAACCCAAAGCCAGTTCAGAGAAAGGCAGCTCTAGCAGCAAAGATGGAAAGACATCTGTATGGATATAGTTAGGGGTTGGGCATGATGCATTTAATGGGCAATGTAAGTAGGGGGTGTGGGTTTCTGCACCCCTGCCCCAGTATTGTCTTGAGTTCATTTTGCAGCGCAAAGGCACAATTTTATACACCGGTTGATGGAAATATTGTTAAGTGGTTCCAGATTGAATAATGTCTTCTAATGTGTTTAACAACAGACAGTTTCCTTCTTTTTCGGGGACTTTCCAGGGAGCTAAGCGTGAATGGTGCAACCCAGTGCACACTGCCTAGGTGTGGAAGTAAGAGCCTCTCTCCTGAAGCCGCTCGTGCTGGTTTCCAAGGCCAGCTCACTGCAGGGGCTCCTCTTCAACAGGGACTGTTTCAGTGACAAGCAGGCTGGCTGGTGGCAATGGATCTCCCCGGTCATTGAGAAGAAAGGTCTTGACTACACCAAGCAACTCATGTCCTGCATATGAAGCTATATGTACTGTACTTGTGTGCCAGGAAGAGTTTATTACTAAACGTTCTTACTCCAATTAATTTCTACTTCCTCCGTTAAATGGGGAAAAACCCTGATTGTTGCTTCAACTTTCACAACACGCTCTTATTACTACTTTCCTGTCTGAATTCTGAAACATGTCAGCAAGGGGTCATTGGAAATGCATGCAGCAGAGATCACTGGTGCTGGGTCTAACTAGGCACTAATGCAATATTATGACTTTCAGAAACGCAGGAACCATATTTAAAAAGAACATATGAGATCCTGAGTGATTCAGTGTTAAGCTACATGTTTTATTCTTATTTGCTTTTCATTTCAATGGTGAAGGAAAAGCAGATCAAATGCTACATAGCAGAAACTGATGATAAACTTGCATTGTAATGATGCTGCTGCATTTATTATAGATCTAGTGGGAAGTGTAACAGTTTACTGTTTTTAACCCCGCTGTTGCACATCATAAGAAAAAGTGCCTTTTAGAAACCAGGAAAACAAAATTCTAAGTATCTGATGTATTCAACTGTCAACTCTCAGTAGAGACCTGAAGATCAGTGTTGATAAATTTTGCTATCATGTGCTTTTTAAAATCAAAACTTTATAAATGAAGACATGGACCTATGCATAGGGGGGCGTGGTGTGTGTGTTCCCATATATATAAGAAAATATATACAAACACACATGGATATGCATGTGTGATATGCATGTAAGGCAATATCAACCCCATGGTGATCTTTACACCAAAAATCAGAGCATAACAGTGCCCTGTTGTCCTCCCATAGAGATCTCCTGGCAAAACTCTGGGCCAGCTGGGTAATTGGCCTTGCTGCTTTTGCTCCACTTGAACCAGGCTGTGGATATGGCTGTTTGATTTTAGTGGGAACAGGACAGAGAATCATCAGCAGAAGCTTGCACCATAGTCACAGGTGCAAAGCAAAGTGGCCTACACTGAGCCCTGTGCTGCTGCTTCCAGCCCCTGAGCTAGCTAGCTTAAAGCTAGTTTGGGCATGTCTACACTATGCTGCAGTCACAGCAGTGGCATCAGTACAGACATCCCCTACGGACCAAATCCCCTTTTCCTCACACACGCAAGCAATTCCACTGCCCGTGTCTGCACCAGGATATTGTGGCTAACGTTTCTCACCAGTGATAGTCACAGTGCAGGGTTAAGGCAGACTATGCAAGATGGTGCTTAAAAATAAGGGGGGCCTGTTTGCAGATTGAATGATTTTGTCCTTCTGCCATTGCTATCTCCAGTAAAACCAAACCCTGGGGTTAGCAAGTGGAAATGCGAGTAACAAAAAAGAAAATCCCAGTGCAGACACCACCATCCACCGCAATGGGGCTGTTCGTGGCAGTGAGGCAAGGAGGTTTAGGACATAAGCACAACACAGCACCATAGAAGGAGGTTTCTCATTCGGAAGTACTTGGGCATTGTATTTTACCTTCCTGTGTCAGACGTACAAACCCGCACGGGCTGGGGCTATTGATATGATGTAGCTGTAGTGACACAAAGCAGAAAAGTGATCCTGTCCACAGGGTTATTTATCATCCTGAGTATTCGCGGACAAGCTGAAGAAAGAAACTGTCTCCTATAAATGCTGAAGGCAAGGCGTACACGATTGGCTCGTCCCCTGAGCCTAGGCAGTCTCCTCCACTCCTGCTGAAGGCATTGGCTTTGCAGGATGCACTTGGCACCTTTCAGGATCAAAGCCATATATTTGCACTGTGATAATAGCAGCATTAAAGCCCTGAAGGAGCAGGGAAGACAAGCGTACCCTTACTTTTAAGCAAGTCCACGGCTCCATTGGTCAATGCATTGCCCATACATGCAAGGGCTGTGTTCACTTAGACCCTTGTGGCATGGTGACACCCTATCTGACATGACACAGTGTCACTTGTAATGATGGCAGGACAAGAGCTGGGTAAACTGAGTTGAAAGGCAACAGGTGAACCCCCAGAGAGAGCTGTGGTTGCAAATACTTGAATATTTGCTTTGCTCAGTGGCCTGCGAAGGAATTCAGGACTTGTTCCTGCTCCCACCAAAGCCATTAATGAGACTCGAAGGAGCAGAAACTGGTCCCTTTTATTTATGATGATGCCTTTGACTATGAGTGAGGAGGCCGTCATGCAATGCCAGGTCTGTTGGAAGAAATCTGCTGTTTTTCATGTGAACTGCAGGACACGGAGGTTGGGTTTCACAGGGTGGCAAGATTGCTCTTCCCATACACACATTTTAGCCCTGAGGCTTGCCTGATGTGCTTATCACATTCCTAACCCAGGTGGGAGGGCGAGGGTCGGGGTGGCAGAGGAGGGAGGAAAAACATATCCGTTTGCTCTTCATGTCTCGTTGCTCTGCGTGTCATGGAGCAACTCCCCCTCGGCATTGCATTCGGGTGTCTTTCCTAAGCCTGAAATTTAAGAGGGGCGGTTTGGTAATGGTGGGCTACTGTTCCAAAGCACATGTGCTCTGGCACCCTCCAGGCCTCTGGATTTGCGTGCTTAGTGCTGGGGTGCAGCCAGTCCTGCAGGTGGGCAGTGGTTTACTCTCTCCAGCAGCCATTTATCTTGCACATCTGTGTGGATCTCACTTGTTTATCCTTGGCCTTGTGTCCTCACGAGAAACTGCGTGTATTCAATGCGGTGACCCGAAAGGATGGAAACTCTGAATAGACTCATGGTTGGATGTTGTGTGGGAGTCTTTTTTAATTCCTCAGAAAGGACTAGCAAGGCTGCAGCCTCATTTAAACTTGTCCTCCCAGACTAGGCAGGAGGCATGGTGGCCCCATGCTGCAGCGCGGAGGTGGTCTTATGGCTATTTCTCCAGAGATAATAGCAACCCCTGCCAGGACCATGGGCATGTCCTTATCATATCCTGGAGCTGGTGTGGGCCTTGTGGTTCTCAACGGTCCTCTCCCTCATCAGGGAGCACTATGGGTTACGTCCTAGTTTGTTTTTTGCACCTAAATGGCATGTAATTGTATAAGGCAGGTTTAGATATCCAGGTTGCAGCCCTATTGGTCTAGAGGAAAAAGCATTCAGGACTTGTGGTAGAGGTAGTATCTTTTATTAGACCAACTAGATTTTTGCCCCAAAAATAAAAGAATATTTTTTGGGCAAAAATCTAGTTGGTCTAATAAAAGATATCACCTCTACCGTGAGTCCTGAATGCTTAAGGCAGGTTTACTCTTCATTTCATCCAGGAAGAGCACACACCAACTGCTGAAACTTCCTTAGCCTGACAAAGGGTTTTTGAACCCGAAAGCTTGCTTAAAAATTGTTTTCCAACTATTTTAGTTGGGCGAATAAAAGATACCGGATTCACCCAAAGAACCTTGTCTGCCTATGTCTTTAGACCAGCACAGCTACAACCTACACCCCTAAGGCAGGTTTAAGCACTTATGCCCAGTTTGGGAATGCCCTGCTTGTGTATCTGCCAGAAGCAGGGGGGTGGGGAAGAGGAGGAGGAGAGGAGAGTGGACAGTCTATGGTGACTGCACTGTTCTGCCGTTCATGCTGTCTCAGGGCTCTGGCACAGCCTCCTCGGCAAGTGGTTTATAACTCTGCTCCTCTCTCATCCCCTGAGCACAGTGCTAGGCAAAGAGCTACTTACCCCTGGCAACACTCCTGGGCAGTAAAAGCACCTCTATGCCCAAGGGCTAAGTGACTTACCCAGAGCCACGTGGAGGGTCTGTTGCAGAGATGGGGACAATTCAGGGCACCCATGCTCAATTCACTAGACCAAAGTGGCTCCAGGGCAGCTGTTCTCACCAGCCCAACTCATGCCCGGTACACAGAGACATTTTCTTTTACCAGATGATTGTGCTGGTGATATTTCCGCACCTTTGCAAAGAGATGTACAGGGTGAGAGACATCTCTCCAGAGATGCTGTAGCTTCCAGCAACCTTTCCGGGTCACTACTGGGATGACCCATAGCTCAGAATTTCTCTAGCATTCAGAGGATCTTCCTGTCCCAGTCAGGTCCAGCCTGAAGGAGAGCAGTACAGGGACACGAAAGTTCAAAGCACTTCAGCGAGCATCTTTCCTGAATGATATCACCATGTGGCACGTGTATAATGCTTTGCTTCTTTTACTGGTGAGTGGTTTCAGACACAGCCTGGAGGGGTTTAATTGCATAGTGTAATTAATCTGAAATACTGAATATTTCACTAAACATGCATCCAATAAAGTGCTCATCATAATTCAGGGCCTGGAACGTCCCAAGTAGAAGCCAAATTCCCTTTTCTGCTTGCATTCCATTCTTCTGGAAAATACTTGAACTTAACTAAAGGCCATAACAAGTCTGCATTGTTATAAAGTTTCTGGGGGGAGGTTTTTGTACTAACTGTATTTGTATTAGAAACTTTCTGAGTCTGAGATTGAATCTGTAAATATTTTTCACTGTAAATGTTACATCGGGAATGTAGTTAGAAAGTTAAAAAAAAAAAAGGTCAGGAAAATGCAGCTCTGATTGGCTCTTCAGTTTCCAGTACTAATAAAATGGAATAAAACTTGCATTTTGTTACAACATGTAACGTGTGTGACGTCTTTCTATGGAAGGATAATCCTCAGCGTGTTGGTAAAGACAGAGTGCAAGGACTTTTACACCTGCTTTTCTTCACTTTAACTTGATATCTGACTATCTGGTTATTTGGCTTCTGATCTCCGTCTGTGTTGTGCATCACTGCCTAGGACTTCTTCAGGCCCTGAAGTCACGTGGAACAAATGGCTTCAATGTGCAAACGCCTCTCTTGGGACACTACAGACATCCTGATTTTCCACCGGGCAAGTTCTCTGCATAGTCTGAAATTAAGGCCTCTTCCAATTCAGCACCCAAAAAATTGATGCATGGAGATTGCTTTTGAAAAGCGACACCGCTGGACTGCTCTTTTGTGTAGTTTGAAATAATCATTCTCAGGCCATAGAAAAAATGAATACCATTGTAGTCTAAGCCAACTTTTTTTGATTTCACGTAAAGATGACTTATAGAGGGGGAAGATGAGTGAGATATTGAGATCATGACATTTTTTCTCTTCATAAAAAAAAGTCTCTGTGTTTTACATTAGAAAATCAGGTTTTGTCTACTCATTTTTCCCTTCCTGCCTCCCTGGACGGCCAAAGTCCACAAGAGGACAGGAGATCCAAATGCAAACAGGACCTAATTAAATTAGTGGGGTAATTATTTCCACACAGGCTGCTTATAGCTTTGTTGCTTTTTTTTCCTGCAAGCATCTGTTTTAACTCAAATGCCCAGAAACCAGTCGTGAGACGCATTGCTCTTGTTTAACCATTTTACCCTTTGGGCCCGTCCATAAAAGTGCTGCTCGTTCCACAGCCCAGATCCTGGAAAACTCAGTGCTCCCACACCAAACTTTGCCCAGTTCTGTTGCTGATGGGAAAATTCGGATGAAAAGCATTTTAACAAAAATCCATTTTGTCTCCTTGCATTTTTCCGACCAGCTGTTGCACTAACTTGCCCATTTTTCCAAAGCCAATTAAAAAATTTAGCCACTAAGGAAAGTTTTCTAGACTCCAAAGAGAACAACAGCGTGGCGGAAGAAGTTCACATTAAATGCTCACTAGCTACAGCAATGGAGGCTACAAAAATGCTGAGAAGGACAAAAACTCCACTGGCTAATAAAGCTCTCCAGGGTGTGCTGATGCAACTTTAAGTGAGCTGTCTTGGGTCGAGGAAGCAGCTTTCCAACAGAGCTTAGCACTGGGCAGAGTGAATTAGCCTGTGCAGAGCTCCTTGCTGCCATGGTTAAATTGCTTCTGGTGCAAAATTTTTCTGAGGTCTCTCCACTACACTGCAGTCTCCATTGCAGATGCATTAAATGCATTAAAAGAAGCAGCCTTAACACTGTTGCTAGTAAATGGGAATTCACCCTTTAATTCACAGAAAGCACAAATCCCCCATTCTTAGGGTCTTTGTCATGGCCCAGGTGGGAGCTGAACTGGATGCTGATCGATGCCAGCTGAGAATCTGGTACTTAATGATCTCCCCTTACAAACTGTTTCTAGATATAAAGTGCTTTCTCCTTTCCACCCCTCCAACAGAGCAGGAAAATCAAGCACGAGAAGTTGAGTGATTCCCACTGCTCTTTGCCCTGGCCATTGTCACAGCGAGTTGCTTGCAGCTAATGCCCTGCTCGTCTTCCCTTTCAGAAGTCATTATTGGAACTTGCTGGAGCGAGGCACGCGTCCCTCATTGCCTGTTGTTCGGGCCAGTCCAGCTCAGAGCAAGAAATGCAGCCAAGTCAGGCACACGCCAAAATAAACTTTGCTCCTGGCATCTTTCAGGC